AATTATTTGCCACATCTTGGTTTGACACTTTTGGAGTGTTCAAACACATGTTGTAGGAGGATAATTAGAGACCAAAATGAATTAAAAATTGATAAAGTAACCCTAATAGCACTAATCACCAATGCAATCAGGAAATATAAAATCAAAGAGAAATTTTTAAAAAATTACTTGATTTGGTATAAATTGGCTTGTAAATAAAAATTTCCAAATTGGGGAAGAACCAGAAACACGTGAAAGCATTTGGACACGTCTCATGGCGAACCCATGAGCTCCTGACCATTTATGTCTTTTCCATTATTGCGGCCTCTTCTTTGTGTTTTTGCCTCATTTTTTAATTCTCCAAAATTTGTTGTAGTTTTAGTGGTGTATCAAATAATTTTTTTAAAAAAAAAAAATAAAAAATATGATCAATACAATTTGACCAGTTGTCCACTACTTCTACAATGTTCTTCAATTATATTTATTTCTATAAAGAGTAGGCTGTAAACACTTGTACCACTTTGATTTATTTTGGTTCTTTTGGTATGTCAGTTCATCACTTTAAAAGCAAATTTTAAATTTTATGATGAATTGCATTATTGACTTCATCTATATAATGATTTGGTTGGGATCTTGAAATAATTCTAACAAGCTAGCATGCAATATTAGCTAACATTAACATATTATTAATAAGTTGGTCAATTGACCTTATGAATCGTGTACTTCAATACTTGTATATAACTTGTACGAGTATTAGATTGCATGCATATTATACAAAGTGAGAGTATAATTAGAGATGAGAGGTTGATCTTGATCGATCCCTTTCTATTAGAATTATTCTCTAACTTATGTTTTAGGGACTTGATGAAATACTTTTGTTTCGGTTGGAAGTTTCATTGATATATATAACAACATTGAACTTTGTTTAAATTTATGAATTATTAAACCTAACAATTTTCGGAGTAATTCTTTAATCTTAATTGATAATTGGATTTTCGATGTATTTATGCATTTATCCATTATTCACTATGGGTAGATGCACACATTCATATGTCTGAATTTTTATTCTTTTCTTCATTTTGCAATAATTTAAAAGAAATTTTAAAAAATCATGAAGGAATTTTTTGGTTGTTGAAATGAAGAGAATGATGTTGGACAATAATTGTATATTTTGTAAAGTGGTTGGAAACACCATAGGTCCAAGAAAGGCAAGAATGTCACTACACCTAAAGAAAGTATAAAAGGTAACAATAATATCATAGAGCCATAAAAAGTAAGAATACCACTCGAATTGTATTTAGTGAGCCACAAGGGCAGGTGATGAGAATCGATTCCAAGATCTCTTGAAACCGGGAGGAGAGCTCTAACCACTTGAGCTATCCCTCACTCTCATTATTGTATATAATTACGAAGTGTAGTATTACTTAAATAATTAACTAATACATAGATAGTTAAATAAATTAACGTTAGTAATTGATTAATAGTAATTAAGCCGCCAACTTAATTTTGATTCACGTTCGTGTAAATGGTTGACAACTCATAAGTCCTCATTAACATGCATGTCGGTTTGATATAATTAAAATATTAGTACTACCATCTCACCAACATTAACGGTGGTTCATTTTTGTTTGTCCCTTTTTATATTTAGTACATATCTACAATTGTTAAGCCCTTTTTAGTCCTTAATAATTATAATTAGTTAAATAGCTTAATTAGTTGCTTAAATATCTAATGTATGCATAGCTTTATGCCTTCATATGAGTTTTATGAAGTGTTTAATTACTTATAATCGAGATATGATAGGGAAATTGATATGAATTAATTTCAAGATAAAAGGGTTTGTTGCCTGTTTAAAAAATATATATACGACGCATGCCTCTTAATTGTAATAACGAACTAATGAAAATATGTTTTGGCTTCATGTACCTCTTAACTCATATAATTAATTTATAACGTTAAGTTTAAGATTTTATGTCTTGATCAATTATCAAACATTTCATGATATATAAATTAAATAACTTAGATTTCAAGAATATCCTTTGTACAAATATAATTTTAACGCTAATTATATCCTTACATTATTACTTACAAGTTACAACTAATCTTAAATAACGGGGTACACTATCAACATAGGAATGTTGTCGGACTTTTATCAAAATAGTCATTCAACTGTACTATTAATTTTACAACATGAAATTAAACACTCTAATATGACAAAAAGGATAAACTAAATTAATAAAAAGGATTAAGATTAGAGAACTAAACTAAACTTAGTGCTCCAAACAACATGGAACTGATGGAATGTCATATTTGATGCGACTTTTAACGTCAAGATCAAGCTTCATCATTACACTTCACACCTTAATGATGTCCATTTACATAAGTCAGTCCACATTAACTAATTAACAATGTTTAAACATAATTAAGCTTAATTAATTTAACTAATCCCCTAATGATTATCCCACGTCGTGCCAATCACGTGAAACGCAACAAGTGCGCGTATTCGTCAATTTTACAAGTACAACTTACGCTTTGCTAGACTCAGTTGACTCGTGGATGCATGCAACAAATATTATTTTGTTACAACAAATTTTAAATTAAAATGACATTTTATTTATTTTAATAATAAAAGTGTTAATCAATTTTGTATGTACTAATTTTTTGTGGTTGTCTCATATTGTGGAATGAAAAATATAATATTTTGATTGCATGCGGGTCTTTGGGAATCAAATTAATTACGATTTACATTACTTAATTTATATTTTTATTTTTATGAAAGTATATAATTTAGGTGGGAGGTGGCTGGCGCAACACGGCAACAATATTAAAACTGGAACAAGTTTCGGCAATGCAAAAGTGTTTTGCTAAAAAGAGTTAATATTTCATGTATTATTATTTTAAAAATCAGTTGAATAAAACGTTCTCGCGGTTTGTAAAATAAAAATCAGCTAAAAATAGAGCGTGAGGGGTAGCTCAAGTGGTTAGAGGTTCCCTCTCGGTTTTAGGAGATCCCGTGATCGATTCTCACCCCTGCCCTTGTGGGTTTGTGGCTCTCTAAACACAAAAAAAAAACATATATATAATATCTAAAAATTTTAAGATAGATATGAAAATTTTCATTTAAATTTGTAATTAATATTCAATTTAGAAACGTAGAAACGCAAAAGACAAAAATACTTCGTATTAGAAACGGATTGTTAAAGAAACGGATTAAGGAAGCTTTAATCTAATTAATTAACAAATAACAAGTAAAAGTGATTGGATTAGTGTTATATAACTACCTTAATTAACCAAAGTGGTTCATAACCAAGTACAGGGCACAAAGACACTTTTTTTTTTTTTTTTTTTAGAAAAAAAATGAATGAAATTTGACCACTTTGTTAGTTGTAGTTCACAGTCTGTCTTATTCCTGGTCCTGCTTCCATTTAATTTAATTATTATTACTCGTATATGTTTGTTTGTGTATACTTTGTAATGGAGTTGATAAATAATATTGCCCATCATCATATATTAAAATATACATATGGGGCATCCCATTATAGCTAATACTCAATGTTGAAAATTATTCCTTCTGAATAGTAAACACTATATATCAACATTTGCTTATTTTTTTGTCAAAAAAAAATAAAAATAAAAAAACAAAACAAAACATTGTCTTTTTTTTTCTCCTTCATATATATATATATATATATATATATATATATATATATATATATATATTACTTTCTCGTCTGTTCTCTTTTATTTGTCCTAATTCGCATAAATAAAGTTATTTCAAGATTGGTTTTCATGTTCAGTAATTGTGATGGTTAATTTGCCATTACTAATAACAAGTTGACTGTATTAGCTAGATTGGTATTATTCGCAGAAGCCATAATTGATGCAAGGCCATATCATTAGGATCATTGTTATTATTAGTAAAGTCGCTCATTAATGGATGCGAGATCATTGTTGAAATGCTATGTGTAAATATGAAGTGTCTAAAAAGAAAGTACAATAAATACACAAGTATTTTGAAATCATTTCAAACACAACTTGCACATAAGAATCCTAGTATATACTCGCATATATATATGGCCATGTACTTATACATACTACGGATTAAACAATTAAGTTAATATACAGATTATAAAGTTTTGTGTATAAATTCAAAATGCTTATTTTTTTATACAATGGTATAACCTCTTTATAGAGAAACTTATTTATAGTAGAACAACAAAAAAAACTGAGAAAGTATCTAAGAAAATACAGTAAGTTAAAGAGAAAAACAAAAATACATGTAATATAAAATGGTGCACTTCGTATGACTTGAGAAAAAGGGAAAGAACGTACAGCTTAGGAATCTTTCCTTTAATGGAAATAATGTGGGTGGAATTTTGTGGCATTATTTTCAGGCATTAATAAATACTTGACCAATCAGTAGAATTTCAGAATTTTTTTAATAATAATTTTATTATTTTTATTGATACACTCCAATTTGATTCCTACCTCACTCGTGGGTGTCCCTTCAGTGGTTTGTGAGCCAACTTTCTCCCTTACTATTATTACTACCAATATGAATATATTGTCATTTGTGTCAAAAAAAAAAATAAAAAAATAAAAAAAATTGTCATTGATCATGAGTTCAATCTCCAAATGTTTAATCAAAAATCAAACATTGATTAGTTGTTAGCAGATTAATGGTTAACGGCTCAATGTATAATTTTCTCATTACTAATCTTAGTAACATTTGTATGGTGTACGGGTATAATTTTTTTAAAAAGTACTGGTATGTTAATTAATCCACTAAAAAGAAATTTGGTATGTAGGAAAATGCGGATCATAAATTTTTTAAAAAATTGGGTAAAAAATTAATCCGCTAATTTTTTTAAAAAAAATTGCTAATGTTACAAATCAAATCTGTCAAAATTTTTGAGCATTTGTGATCAGACTATTATAGATGGACTATAAATCGTTCGATTTCCAATTTGGAGTTGGGCTATGAGTTTACGAAATTTGGGCCTAACTATTGGGCCGATTCGTGAAGAAAGGAAACGAAACATTTATTTTATTGACAAAAATATATATGCCTGAAATACATATGTATGAGACCAATATACATTTGGTTACATTGACACTAATAAGCAAACCATATTATTATCTTAATTAAGCTTTGCTTGCTCAAAAAGCATATCTTTCTATTAAAAACCACGCAACTCTTTTATAAAAAAATTTGTATACTTTGTATAAAATTTGACGTATGGAGTAAAATTAAACTCCATACTCTCTTCTTGTGTTTGGCTCTTTCGAGAACCAAAAAAATGGAACTTTTGTTGTAAAAAATTTAATTAAGCATATTTGATCGACTCGCTAATCAACACTTGGGAATATCTCTTGGAGGTTTTATTAGAGATTCATTTGGTCCTTTGCCATTTTCGACTAAGAACGCCATTTTTAATCCCCATGTTGTGTGAATCTCTAAATGGCAATGCAAGAACCAAACCCCTGCGAAATAATCAACAAAATAGTTAATATGTCTGAGAACTAATAGAGAATATGCGCAGAATATTTATTATATTTTTTTTAGGGATTATTACCTGGATTATCGGCTCTAAATCTGATAGCAACCCATCCACCAGATGGTACTCCAATAGTGTTTCTTTCAACTGGATCAACAAGATTGAAATTCGTTGGATCTGTTTTAGGACTGTAGTTTCCTAGACCTTTACCAACAACGAAGAAATTAAATCCATGTAAATGAAACGGGTGATTCTCAGGTGCAATCATCGCGGTATCTTGTAATACCAATTGAACCGTTGCATTGTAAGGAAGCTTGTACACCCTAGTCCCGGTTGTTGTATTAAGGTTGGTCAATTGATTTCCAGTGTAATTAAATGGTGTAGGAGGTTTCGCCGGAAAATCAGCCGTGAACACACCACTTATATTAGAGTAATGTGCTTGTAAGAGAGCAATATTAGGCATAACAAACGTAACATTGTTAATAGATGCCACGACCCTAGACCCATTGACACAAGTTTTGCAAGGGTTAACCCCTAGCCCTACCGCGAAAAGTAAGGAATGATCAACTTGTTGAGGTACTTTAGCAGGGTACTCTTTTGAGTTAAGGGCTCTAAGAGAATTGGTGAAGTTATCAGCCACCTCGGTTGCATTAATTGGTGGTGGGGCGGTGAGGGTGGTCGATAAGGCGGTAGGATGGGACGTTGTGTAACGAACAGATGCTAGGCCGGTTGCATTGTCTACCAGGACAGGTGCATCCATAAAGGGTGAAACAACCACCAAGTATTTTCCAGCCTTATTATTAGCTTCGATTATAACATTGGTTGTTTGACCGGGTGACACGACAATCGTGTCGGTTTTGAAGGGTTTAACATACGTAGCATCGACTTCGACAACCGTGAGGTGGTGGTTGGCTATCTTGAAGAAGAGCTCTTCATTAAGTGCAGCATTGATAATACGTAGCATGTATTTTTTCCCTGGTTTTACATTCAAGTTGAACATTTCTGCATAATATAAACACACGTATAGGTTAAAACTATTCTTCGTATAACATAACAAGTTGACAACATGACATAATTATTATCTACAAAAGTTGAATAGAGTATTACCTGGTGAGTTACAATTCTTATGAACGAGACCTGGATATCCATTAATTGTGTGAGCATCAGACACGTTAGGTGCCAATCCAGATTTCAGAGCTTCGTTGATGACAGCTTCTACATCCGATTTCCACCATTCACCTATCCATTTTCATCACAAATTTTGTCACATGACATTTTTTTTAAAGGAAAAAATTTATTTTCTCCGTTTCTTTTTAGCTGACACGTTTCTTTAGTCACATTTTTCAATGCACAAATTAAACTGTTAAATTTTTTAATTATGCATTACCAAAAATTATAAAAAGTTGATATTTTAAAAATATACATCGTGGCGAATTTAACAAGACTCCACATGACTATATTTTTCATTACATATGAATCCTAAAACACACTCAAAGGGAGGTATGTGAATAGTGTTAAAGTCAAAACGTGTCAACTAAAAATCGGAGTTAGTAATATTTTTCAATTTGAAGAATACATAAAAAAAAAAAAAAAAAAATATTACCTAAGACCAAGACATTTTCTTTATGGGGTTTGGGAAAAGGATAAGGAACACCAAGTTTGGGTAAAATGATAAGAGCACCATGGAGAGTAGCCCTTAGCCAAAGAATATGGGCATGATAGAAAAGGGTTCCTCTTTGGCCCGTCAGAGTGAAGTTGTAAGTGTAGGTTTGTCCTGGTTGGATTGGACATTGTGTTATGTATGCTGGCCCATCTGACCACCCTGTTCTTATTTGTCTCACCCCATGCCTGCCAAAAATCAAACAACATCCAAATTAAGTTTTATTATTTTCTCATTGGCCCATTTATTGAAATAAATTAATAATAATAATAATAATAAATAACTTGTATGTTTTCTTTAAGAAAAAAGTCTGAATTATATCCTAAAGTATTGAATTTTGCTTTTAGCAGGACGATTTCATACTTGGTGATTTTTTTATTTTATTTTATTTTATTTTTATTATTATAAAAAAATCGATTAAAAACAAAGTATTGTGAAAGTATTTCTTTCAAAAAAAAAAAAAAAATTATTGTGAAAGTATAAGAAATATCATTAGTTTTGGTGGACTAATTTTTTAGGTGAGTAAAAAATATAGGAAAAATATAAGTTCACATGTGAATAAAACGAGTATTAGCCTTTTTTCATATAAAGTAATGCATGTTTTCTCGTTTAAGTTTAATTAAGTCAGATTCCAAATTATGTTGACAAAATTATAAATAATTGGTACTAACCAATGAATGGAGAGATTGTATTTGACATGATTGACGACCTTCACAAGCACCGTATCATCCTCCCTAGCCACGATAGTAGGTCCCGGATACTTACCATTTACCGTCACAATTTGTTTTGTTGAACATAATCTCGTATGATTTTTCAACACCACCTATAATTAATAACACACATACATATACATATTACAACTATGAACATGCACATATATATACACATTACATTCAACCAAGAAGATGATGAAAACATGCTCTTACATTGAACTTGTAGTGACGAACTCGAGACTCGACTAACAATGCAGGCAATAAGCAACCTACAATCACCAATATCAACGCCTTCTCAACCCAACTTGCCATTTTTCTTCTCTAACAAAATATTTTCGTATGAATTTACTTCACTGAGGCGATCGAGCTTGGTATTAGCTCAAGCAAATGAAGGACACAAGATGAAACAAGGCAAAACTTTGCTTATATAAAGGAGTAATAATATTGTGCAAAGAAAAGAAATTAATTAATTTGCTTAAGATAATATTTAATTATGGCTAAGATGTCATTGTTTATAAGTTGGTATATTGAAAATGAACAAGCTAGAATTTGAAAAAAAATACTTAGCTATTAACAAAGACAGATGCTTTTCTTGTAGACTACACCAAATTAGTTATATTGTGCATGCATATATGTCAAAAAAGTATAAAATGCCCTGTTTTTTAAGCTAAGGTTTTTAGTTTTTGATAGTTTTATTTGTTTTTTATTTGAACAAGAAGTATTATATATCCAATCATATAAAGAAATAAAAATAGGGTTGGCCTAACACTCTAACAAATAACGATATTGGTTGAAGTATATCAGAACTCTCAGCTAACTACAACCAAACAGAGGATTTCAATAATATTTATTCAGTTGCTATGTTATTAATTGAATATTAGTGAATCTAACTAGTTTTTTTTTGGTCAAATTGATGACATAATTTATCAGCTAATTAGTACACCAAACCTGTTATTTAACGAAGTGCTACGAAGACATTATTAAAATTATATTAGTATAAACTATATTATGTTTGATTTCATTGCATTGACTCATTGAGATACTGGATTTTTGCGAGTAGGGAAGAGCTGGAGATTATCATTTAGGGACTTAGGGTTATAATATGCATTTTGAATTTGTGATGTGTGTGGTCCACCAAGAAAAATTCTAACACTTTCAATATAAAAGATTCAAAAAATTACGTACAATTATATGTATTTTAAGAAGAAAAAGTAATCCAACAAGGAGGAAAATCATATTAAATCAAGCTCCGTCAAAATAGTTAAAACATAAACATATGAAAAATTCATTACAATCCTGTTAATCTCATCTTGCAGCAAGATATGCAACAACATACAAGCTCATAATACTTGCAATTATAAATTATAATCTAGAGCTTAACCTTGACCTCTATGAAGTTTGGACCTATCTATTTTATAAGATTAGATGCAAAGTTTTTTTCCTTTTCTTTTCCGTGATATATGTAAAGCAACTAGCTTTTATTATTAACAAATAAATATAACTATGCAACGATTGCATGAATTAGTGAATTACACTGTCATTTTCTAATAGAAATCCTCAAACTCACGCTCATATCCGTTCAAAAAAAAATAAAAATAAATAAATAAATATAATGCTCATATAGAGTAATTTAGTGGTGACGATATATAAGGCTTAATAAAAGTCACTCTAGTCACGATACATATTAACATATTTACTTCGTATTACGGTATAATTATATGTTATTGAGTATGTGGTCAACTCTCATACAGTCATACAAAGTACGGAGCAAAAGTTATTACAGTAGGTCTTACCATTGTAACCAAATAGTCTTACACGATATGATTATGCAAATAGGTAACAGATAACCATATACTCTTCTTCTTAGTGAATAGAGGCAATATTCACCTACCGTTTAATTCTATTGGAATTCAATCAATAAATAAATTTTCCGAAACGGTCAAAACGTAGTTATCATATATAGTTGCAAAGATTTTCATAAAAAAAAAACGTACATATCACTTCAACTTTCTGATACTCGTAGTTACATTATATTATATAGTTCTGAAAAATAAGTTACGCGATCGAATGATATGACATATTCGGATGACCTAAATTGATTGTTTAATACTACTCCTAGTTTGCATTAACAACAGTAGACATGACATTTTAATATTCTAGCTAGCTAACACGCCAAGATTACTTTTAGTTCAAAAGTTATTTTCATGAATTAGTAACAAAGTACATTATAATCTAGATTTGCTTGTTTTTTTTTACTTTGATATTTCTATCTTTATGATTGTAAACTCGTGTTAAACCTGCCGTCCGATAATTTATTTATTTTAATTACGGTCCTTAAATTACCCTGAATATGGTGTTCAAAAACTGGTCTGGATTAAATTGGGCCGAAAATATGGTGAAATAATACGGTAATTTAAAAGTTGGGCTTTGGCCCAACCAGTAGGGAGCCCAACCAATATCGGGTAAGATCTGCATAAATAATCTGGTTTGAGCCCATCATCTAATCACTTGACCAAATTTTGCTGAAGTCATTATATAATGCTTGGGCATGCAATCACTTAAAGAACTTTAGTAAGTAGATTAATATAATTATGTTCTTTAAAAGTTTACAAAATATAATTCACTATTTTGTAATTTTGCTCCTCCGTTTAAGAAATTTACCTCCGTACTTTTTTGTAAATATATACGTAGTACTTCGTATATTGATAGTAGTATAAATTACGAGAGTGAGGGATAACTCAAGTGGTTAGAGCTTCCCTCCCGATTCTAGGAGGTCGTAGTATAAAATAACGGAAGGTACATCTATGTGCAAACCTCACCTTTTCTGTGCAAACCTAATCTTTTCTTCTACTTCGCATATTAAAAATGTTGAATACGCATATGAATTATTGGGAATTATGTCATTTAAGTGTTGCTAACCATGTACCGCTCTAAAGTGCTATTAGAAGTATTTTAATTAATAACACAAGTTTATGCGAAAATAGACCTCTAGGAGACAAACAAAAACCTAGAATCCTAATTAGTTCACATCATTGCCCATTTGCCCAAAACATCAACAAAAAAAGAAAGTTGACAAATTGCGTATGATAGCATAATTTAATCCCTTACTACATTTGGCATATATATATATATATATATAAATATATTATTACTCCCTCAATTCCTAATTGTTCTTATGATTTGACTTTTATCTCGATAAATATTTCAACAAGGAATACATTTATGAAGGGAGTACGAACTAGCTAATGAAAATAGCCGAGATTTGAAGGTTGCATAGAAGCATGATTTCCTGTAAGTTGTTGCACAAGACCCCTAAATTCCTCTGGCTTGACCTCTATAACCTTCGGCGATGTCATGTACACGACAACCGGACCGGGATTTTTTCCCGGAACTTGCTTCACTTTCTTCTTGAACTTAGATGAATCGTTGCATACTGATCCTGCTAAGCACTCTTCAGTCCTTCCCTTTGGTGCATGAACATTAACGTCATTAACGTTGCTCATATTAAAACTAATTACGTGATTCAATCACTTAAACCGGAATAATCTCTCGTTTTGAGCAATCTATCAATACAAATATTAAGCAAACAAAGGTGTATTTATATATGAGTGTGTGCATGAGAGAACTTAAATTATTAAACCGGATTTCAAATCTTGGGTCAAAATCATGACTTAGTCAATTTATGTTTGAAATATCGAGTAATATTATGTTAGTTTATAAAGACGAATTAAATTCAGTCTTTTTAAAAAAAGGCAGGTGAGGTGACTTTTGCTGGACCCTTTAATTCTAAAAGCCAACTCTTGAATTGTTAAGTTTAGATTGAAATGTCAAAAGAAATTAAAAATTTCAAATCAAGAACTAATCAAAAAATCAGAATAATTGAGGCAGTTTAGTCAAACTATTTGAGATTTAATTAAATTATACTAATCCATAAACGTGACATATATAACATTCCAAAAGTACGTGCTAGAAGTTTTGATAAAGAACAAGAGCGCAGCCAGTCAAAGTCGTTAATTACTAACAAAATGATATTGCTGTCATGTAATTGGTTGACAGGAGTTAATTAGTTGTACTTAAAAGGAGCAATTAGCAATGACACACCAATCACGCCAATAAGGTATGATCCTGAAATTATATATTGTATGTATGCATGATCCTGAAACAGTGCTTTTTACCTGGCCTCTCAGTCTTCTTACGAAAATAGTAACCATATATCTAACGAACCATGCAATAATTACTTGTTTAAGTTCCTAACCATAGGTCATGTTGTGCACGGATCGTGTATCTATTTTGATTTTGCACATTGGTAAAAATTAGCAAAGGTTATGCATCAAATAAACAGATGGATATTGATCTAGATGAAATTTAGAATTGTATGTTTACATCTTTCAGAAATAACTTTATTATATGGATGTAGGATGGAATCACGGGTAGAGCTGTCAATTCGGGTAAACGGGTCGGGTAAGAGTGGTTCGGGTCAATTCAGATTAATTTCATAACCTATGCGGGTCGGGTTTGGGACTTTGGGTTGGGTCACGCTTGAGTCGGGTCATACTTCTTATCGGATTTGGGTCGGGTTAATAACATGTCAGGTTACATTCGGGTCGGGTGAACAATAGGTCGGGTTTAATGCGGGTTTTCACAGGTTAAAACGGGTTAGGGTAACTCTCGGGTTCGAGTCGGGTTTGGTTCAAGTCAATAATTTGCGGGTTAGATCAGGTCGGGTCATTCTCGGGTTTGAGTCGGTTCGTTTCAAGTCAATAATTTGCGGGTTATAATCAAGTTAGGTCATTTTCAAGTCGAGTCATTCTCGGGTTCAAGTCGGGTTATGTTCAAGTCGATAAATTGCAGGTTACAATCAGGTTGGGTCATTTCCAAGTCAGGTCATATTCGGGTTCAACTAACTATAAATAGATAATTATCATTTTTATCAAGCTTATTATTTGACTATAATATATATGAAAATATACTAGGAACTATATTCTATAATTTAGGAAGATAATTATCTCCATTGACCATACAACAAATATATACTATATTTAAAACTTAAATTTGAGGATGATACTCATTAATTTTGCCGGCCAAGACCGACTTGGTCTCCCTAGACAAAATGCTTTAATCAACAATAATAAGGTGGTCTAAATTGCATTCAAGGTTATTTGAAATCAGGTCAGGAATAATTTGAGTTGAATTTAGGTCGGGTCAATAACAAGTCTTGTTAATTTCGAGTCGAGTTAGTAACATATCAGATTGAATTTTTGGGTCAGGTAAGTAATAGGTTTGGTAAAATTCGGGACAGGTCAATAACAAGTTGGGTTTAATTTGGGTCAGATCAATAACAAGTCGTGTTGATTTCAAGTCGGGTTTGAGACAAGTTCGGTTAAATTCGGATCAGGTTAGGAACGGGTCGGGTTGAATTC